CTCATAATTTTCGAATATATTTGTATAACATGGAAGTTTCACTGCGCTCGCAATCATTGATAGCACGATTGGATATAACTTGTTTTACATGCTTCGTAATTTATGTTCGAAATCGCAGCGGCGGTCACTTCTACACGCGCGATGTTCTTATTTAAATTTAAGCGTCGACCTCGTGATCGATTAGGGTATTCAAACAGTGACTAAAGGTCAAATTTGCGCGTTACGTAGAGAAGTACGGTATTCAAACAAACTTTATAGGTCGGCTTTACATTTTGCATATTGTAGGTATGTTATTCGGACAATGAGTGAAAGTAAATGTTGCATGATAAGCGATATCAGAAGAGCAAGTTTCGTAAATATACACAGTACATTACATGACAGTTGCAACTGCGTCGTGAAATTTTGCGGATCGAGAAGGTTCTTTTGAGAAGTGAAATTATACGCACGACAGTAGAAAATATTAATAATATTTTCTACGCACGACAGTAGAAAATATTATTAATATCATTAATATTTTCTCTCTCTCTACTGTCGTGCGTATAATTTCACTTCTCAAAAGAATCTTCTCGAAGAGAATAAAACGAACGCCTTTATGTTGGATATCTATATCGGAAGTACGAACCTGTCTATATCTATGAATGAGATAATCAGTGTGGATTAAATGATAATAGTGCGCACACATGCAATATGAATTTACAAATATGCAACCTGTCGCGCAGAATAAATTAAAGGCACGAAATAAGCTGCAGATGTTGACCTCTGATCTCTTCGTATATTTAACGCAGAGTGCAACCGTGCTTGATTTTTATTTCCCGCCGATGCAACGCCGTGAAGTCGTGTAAATTTTTACATTAGGTAATAAAAACTTAGAATTGCGGCCATGCTCGACTCTTAACGCGTTATTAAATTAAGAAACGAGGTTTAATTGAGTTAAATGAGCGAAAGTTTTTTATATCGCAACATGATAAAATCAATTTCCGTCTTTCAAAATCACACTCTCTAAAAGTGAATTAGTGACTTTAGTGTTACACTTACAACCAGTGATGGGTAAGATATTCTTAAAATTTATCTAGATACAGATACAGTTACATGTACAAAAATTTATCTAAATACAGATACACATATTAAAATGTATATAGGTACAGGTATCAGATACTTTAAAAGTATCTTCAGATACATTTCAGATACTCTTAAATTAATTTTATTGTAATAATAGTAATGTGTAAAAAATGTATTAGTTATTAAATGAATCATTTATTCATTCATTTTTGTTACATTTAGATAATTGAAAAAACTTATAGTCATCGTAAAACGATTTAGAATAAGAATTATGAGACGATATTATTCATCATAGTTTTACAAACTAAAAATTCTTTAAAAATTATGTTTTCAGCTTAACTATACATACGTTAGAAATTCCACAATCTAAAGTCACTGGCTGCGTTTAGCAGAAAAAGTAGTTGTGTAACTGTAAAATTCTTTAATATGACTGTTTTGCATTTAGATCCAGTGAAACTAAAGACCAATCATGTTATAGAATTTTGCAACAGCAAAGCTGCTTTTTTTCTGCGGAATGGAATCAATCGACAATCACACATAAAATGGAATTATGATTATGCTGAGGAAATGTATCTGAAAAATGCATCTGAAAATCAGTTGCTTGTTTTTTTATCTATTGATACAGATACAAATATTTGAATTTGAATGTATCTCAGATACAGGTTAGATACACAAAATGTATCTCTATACATACATCTAGATAGTAGATACATGTATAGAAATACTACCCAACACTGCTTACAACTGATGTAATCATCAATGAACATTTACTGTTTTTCAGTAATTTACTGTTTTTCAGTAATAATACACTAATTCGCTTTTAGAGAGCAAGCATTAAACACAAAGCATAAAAAATAACGGTAACAATTTCATGATTCCATGATTATTTGAATTATTTCTATAATAATTGCAGAAAAATGGGAACTGCAGCTAAACTGGCATCGTGTTCAATTGAAATAACAAGAAATATAATTACGACTTAAATTTCTATACTTCCTTCAGTTTTAAATTTCTATTCGTTAAATACAGCATGGCCGCGTAACGATGGAATCTTAAGTTTCAATCTTTGTAATGATAACGGCAGACAACTTGTTGTTTTTAATGAGATAATTAGGAGCTGTCATGATGGGCGAAAGTATGCGCCCAGATCCGTGTTACTTCTGGCTCCTATTCTACCGTCTTCTTCGGGTGCAGTTATTGACGTACGATGGTAATTACATAGAGTGCACGGTGCATCAGTGCATAAGCGGATGTGGAGAATTATGGAAATCGCGAACTTATTATCGAATCGCGAGATCCAGCTCAGGTTAACGGGTATTCCTGCAGGTGCCCTTCCTTCCTGATCGCGTAGAGTATATAAAATATTTTTAATATATTATATATTATATATAACATTTCTTACACTGCATAAAGAAAGAAAGCAAATCAAACGAAGTTTAGAGTTATATCCATTTTCATCAATGTAGATTAACTTTAATTTCGATTTAACTTACTTTTTATCTTTTTCTGATAATTAGGAAAAGATAAGAAGTAAGTTAAACCGAGATTAAAGTTAATCTACATCAAGAGAAACGAGCATTAGAAATAAGATTAATCCTTTGTCGGCAACATGAATTTTAACTCTTCCGTTAGCAACAGAGGTTTTTAAGAAACACATCAAATTTTTTTATTGTTTCAAATTATATAAAAATCTGAAAAAATTCTGGTACACTTTTCAAAGTTTTAATAATGAGTTTTCATTATAGAAATCGGATTATACTTTACTTATTTTTCACAGATTTAAATTTTTCTACCAAAATTCACAATCAAAATATTAATGGTGCTTTTAAAGACCTCAGTTTCCGGTAAAGAATTAAATTGCAAACAGAATCAAAAGTAAAGACCGAAACATAGCCGAATAAATATTCAATTTTGCGTACTTGCGTCTGCCTGCAGTTCTTTTGCATTTTACACCCGCTTTTTCGATCCAGATACAAAGGTCGATACGGTTTATATACGACTATGCATGTTTCTTATTTACGATTTAAAGGGTTAATCGCGCGCTGAAAACCCTCGGTGTACGTGTTCATTCCGAGCTCTTTTACTCTTCGCGGTTTTACGATTTACGGCGCATTCGTGCTCTTGTACTCGCTCGTCCATTGATTCGTGGGTGAATTTATAAATCACTCAGTCGCCGTTGTAACGGTGAATTACGCCTCGGACATTTTCCACTCGTCCAAATCTAGATCATAATCGCGAATAAAATACTTGTCGTGAATAAAATACTTGTCGCGGTTGACAAAATAAGATGCGTAAGTATTCGCTTGAGTAGAGAAGACGGCAATATACCTAGGGGCATGTTTTACCTTGGGACACATTTCTTGGATAGAATACGAAATCACACACACACACACATAACAAGATTAACATGACATCAAGTAAAAACTTTTAGTTAAAAAAGTCATTTTAAAATTATTATCATGTCAAGAATTTATCACAAAATTATTGTTAAAAATGTATCGAATGGCATCATTATTGCTGACATCTCACTTTTTGTTTGTACATCTTCGTTTATTATGTCCTTACTGTTTAGTTTTTTCTTTGTACTGCACACCAATAAAGTTATTATAATCATATACTTTTTTTTAAAATGATTTCTATTTGATGTTATCTTGATCTTATAATTCTGTGTTCTACTTAAGTAATTATTTTTTTAGCAGTAATTCAATGTTGGTTCTAGTTGAAAAATAACATAATTGAGCAGCCAATGTTAAAAATTTCATTATTTAAAAAAAATAATTAATGTGTTTTGAGGTCAACACATTCCTAGATACCACAGTCTTAGATTTCTTGTTTCTAAATACCCTACTTCTTCGAGTATTCTCATGGGTTGATTTACATTTTGACACACATGGCAGTTACAAATAATAACATGTTATTTAACTCAAGGGACTATGGGTTACCATTGCTCCTTTGATATATCTAATAATAGTGCATTTCTTTCAGACGAAAATCTTAATTTATCGGAGGGATTAATTTATCATAAACTATTATATGGGTTGTCTTGGTCGAAAGCATTTCGACGATCGTTGAATTAGGTACTCGGTGAGCTGTCAGATTTGGAAAGTATTATATATCGGAGCGCGGAACCTCTTTATGTTAATAAAGAGTAGGTATATATATACGGCGACGCAGCGTTGTGCGACGAGACGGGACGATGCGATGCACCAGCCACATCGAGAATGTAGCTCAGCAGTAAGCGTGATGAATTTGCTCAGGCGATCGTTTGCGAGAGCGTGAATAAAGCGTTGTTCCTTGTATCCGCCGACTAGATACTCTCGTTGCCCGGACACGTGCCAAGCCGCATAGAACAAATGATTATAAGTGCGCATTCGTTAATTGCTAACCGCGCCGAGCCGAATCCTTCCTTCCGAGTTCGCAAAGAAAGGAGAAGCGGCGTCTATTAACATTTCGGAGAAATATCGCCTATAATCGAGAACTCGACAAATTTTCCGCAAATAGTTAATCGCGAAGAATCAACGGAACGGTAATTATGTGGAAATTCAAGCGCCGTATTGATCCACATTCCTCGTATGTTATCAATATAATTTCCTGATGCATCAACTGGCAAGCAACTAAGAGCACTACGAACAATTGATAACGAAAATAACGAACGAAAAACAGTTCTCGTCTTCACTGCAGATAAAATAAAATAAATGTAGAAAAATAAAATAAATGTAGAAACGCGAAATTTGTTTAAACTTTTCGTATTACGCGCGAGCGTAATCGATCGATCAGGATGGTCGGGACGTTTTCATTTCTGCAATTGCGGTTTTCCATCTGCCGCAGCGGAACCGCAATTTTATGCTATCTCGACTTTTATCGAAATAAAAATTTCTCCTTATTTTTTAACGACCGTCACGCACTCTCTCTTTCTCAGTAGAGATTTCTATTTTTTGCAGGTGGGAGCAACGGTGGATCACGGCGTCCCTCTCACTTCGGCGATCTGCATGAAGGGCACCAGGTACGAACATTTGAGCTTAGATTATATAGAAATTATTTACTGAAGACGTATTGAGTACATAAATTGTTTAAAATTAATGGAATCACATAATATATTAATAGAATCAAATAAAATAAAAATAATTTTACCGCATGCTTTAATATATTCTCGTTTATACTAATATTATTAAAAAAATCTAGATACAAAAATGAATTCAGCATATTATTAAATAGGTAATTAATCCCCGAATTTGAATGTAACAGTCACACAATATTTATTGAATATTATTTAAATAATTTAAATAAATATATATTATATATAATAATTCTAACAATAAGTAGATTATCAATTTTACAATTGTGTTAATTCGTCATTAAAATGTTAAAACAATATGAAGTCATAGTTATTTCCGAATATTTTATATAATAAATTAAAAAAAAAAATTTTTTTATTTTTCTTCTTTTTTCTTCTATCTTGTTATTTTAATCTTAGATTGCGAGGACTGTGAACTGTGTTTGCATAAATGACACAAGTTCGGGGATTAATGCAAGCGCAGATTGATCGTACTAACGTTATGATTTCTCAACGAAAGATAGGGTCCGGTAAGAATGAGGCGGAGCGATCATGATGGCCACGTCGCGCGGCAGGGTCCACCGCCCTTCCGGGTGCTGGCCGTCCCCGACAACATGTACCTGTCACCGCCGCCCCCGCGTGCGCCCGAGCCCT